AGTACCATGACCCCTCCGTACGTCGGGGGGACCAGGACTTAGCTGTGGTGGCAAAACATGGTTCACGTATGCTAGCTCTCTAGGGCTCCATGTATGCGCTGTGCCATTGTTTCTTTATGCGTCGCTGCCACTCAGTTCTACCAGCCTCGACTGATGTACAGGGGAAAGTTATGGTAAGACAGAGTGCACCGGGAAAACTTGTTTTCCAGTACTTCTTTTGCTGTAGCTACGGCGGAGGACGAGGGCCTATCGTCATGCTCATCTTTACTTGTTTAGTTTATTTCGGTATTCCTGAGTACTGCTGTTGCTTCTGTCCTGTATCAAAGCCCTCGAACCCGACGTGAGTGAGCTGCACCTTGGCCTCCAACTCGGGGGAAATCAAGACTTGGCTTGTGACGATGAACTGTAGCTGTCACCAGTTAGTTTGTTCTTTTGGGCTCCGTATGTGTTGTGCAGTTGACTGCATGCCCGTCGCCGCCGCAGAGTCTTGAGATGTCCAGGGGAAGTGAGCTGTGCTGGCCATACGGGGGACTAGCGACTGTATACACTGTTGTTACTACTGTTGCTGTAGCATCCTTTGTAAGCCGGCATGACTGTTCCTGTGCATGTGTTTGCAGTGAGTATACGATCGTCAGCTCTTCCAGTGCATCATTATATGTCGCTTTAGCCTTTGACGATCTATACTCTTTTCTCACTCCCCTTTGCCCAATAATACATTGGGTGGGCCTGGCGCCCGGGGGCACTGACCTGCCCCTATGCCCCGTGGAGAGAGAGAGAGAGAGAGTTGTGTCTCATGTTATATGCACGTTCGCCGAGACCAGTGCGCGCTCGCGCGCGGGGTGGCTTGCGTGCTCTTTCTTGGTTGTGTGGAAGACCTGCCAGACATGCAGGTGCGTGTTCGTGTGGGGGGCGCAGGCGTCCGCCTTCTCCCTCATAGAGATTCTTGATTGGTGGACTGTTAGCTGGAGATCCTCTTTGGAGCTTCTCAAAAACGGCAAGATAGGGGGAAACTGGTCAAAGCTTGCGATGTGATGTTGCTTTAGTGGTTGCTGCCATGCTTTTGTCTGGGAATTCAACCAGCTTCAGCAAGTCAGCGACACCGACAGAGAGAGCGGGCAATGGTTCCTGATTGCAGCATAAAGATGAAGATGTTCACAGAGATCGCGCCAAGGCATGCGGGCCGCAGTCCCAACATGCCGAACGCAGCCTCACTCACCGTGACGGGCAGCAGGCACACGCATCACTGGATCGATTCACTGGACCCTCGAAGAATGCAGCGTACGTGCACAGGTCTTTCCATTTGCAAGCTTATCATCTGAGCTCAATCGGAGCTTTAACATGTCAGGGCCGGCAATATTCTGGCCGCGAGATGCTCCATGAAAGAGGATGCGAGTTCAATGGTCCGCTTTCGCATCTTGGCTGCGGGGAGATTGCAATACTTGCGCTGAGCCCATCCTGAGCTCATCTTGAGCTTCAAGATGAGGGTGAAATACAGCATAGCCTATAACCAAGGGGGTGGTTGTATGCTATCGTCCGACGTCGCAGGGGAAATCAAAGTTGCAGGACTCCTGGAGCAAGGTATGCGAGGAACCCCATCGGGAAATGTTTGTTGATGGAAGCCCAAATGCATCGTTCGAGCCGCAGGAGATTTTCTTCGTGGGGGTCACTTGAGCAAAAACTGGGGAACATGGGATATGGATTGAGATCGAAGTGGCCAGTCAAATAAAGGTGCTGCGGCATCGAGACCAGCTCGACGGAAAGAGGAAGAGACTGCTGAGATGTACGGGATTCGGGGACTGAGATGTACTCACGCATGAATGTGCTGGGTACAGCAGCATAGCGAAGTCCTTCCGGTCATGTTCGAGACTGATACAGTCCGTATATTGAATCCGACATGGTGTGAACCAAGTGTGCAAGCTATGGTATCCTGGTTTCCTCAATGTCTCTGTCCAGACTGTAAGACTCTCGAGATACCTCATCTCGAATGAGTTGTTGCCTGTTAAGTCATGGCTTGCTGCCAAGCAAATCCGGGTCCTGGTATTCTGATTTTCGGACCTCGGGCAGAACAGTAGCAGAACGACTTTCTTCAGTTGCAAACTTCAACTAGCCTTGAGGCCCCAGGCGAGCTCCGTGCAGCGGTCCAAGGCAGCGATCGTTGTATGAGTTGACCCTGCGAAGATCTGCGAAGCACAGCGCCGCTAGGTCGATCCTGCCAAGTTCGTGACGAAGGGTCAAGCTAAGGAACGCAGGCTGACGAAGTTTACGAGAGTTTCTCTGCAAGTTTCTGCCATTCCATTGTGGTGCAGGACGCAGAACTCCGAAATGGTTGGGAGCGGTCGCTCCGTGCAGAACGGTTTTTCCACGCACGCTGTGGACAACTATGTCCAACATGCGCCGCATGCCGACAAGAGCCATCTGCAGAAGTTGGGAAGTGGTGGCTGGACCCAAGATGGATTCGACCCGAGATACGGGACATTTCAGGACAGGCTGTGCTGGCTGGTCTCGGCATGTTTGTCCGAGAGTTGCCAATGTTGAGTTGTGTACAGGACACCCAACACGTGCGCCAACAAGAGATGCCGATCACTCGAACTGACGGGCTGATGCCAGATTTGCGACAGTGACTTGCCAAACAACTTCGTGACGAGCAGCACTTTTTTGCTGGCAGTGCAGCATTTGCCGAGGATGCCCCGTGCTGTTTGCCCAACGCCTTACGCCCTAGGCGCTTCCCCTAGCGGCCTTGAACTCGTGGCTCACGAAGCAGTGCTGTCTTTTTTTGCACAGGCTCTGTTTGTGGTCGTGGAGAGCGTGAGTTGCCGGGCTGGAGGAGCATCAAGGACGCTCGGTCAAGTCAAGTCGAGAGTGTAAAGTTCCGACCCCGGCATTCAGCATGTGTTGCTGGTGCTGTCCGATTTCTCAGGACAGCAAGGAAATCCTCGGAAATTGTGCAGAGATCCTCAATTCAACGTGCAAGTACATCTTCGACGTGCTTTCAGGCCTCAATTAGGTGCTTGTTGCTTTCGACAAATGTTTGTCGCGTCGTTGGGTCAGCCAGGTACGGAAGGTTGGAGTGGGTCCCTGAAGATTCTCTCGGCTGCTGATGGCTGTGCTGACGACATGCTGCAAGAAGCGCAGGCAAGCCGGTCAGCACAGAGGAAGGAGGCCTTTTCTCGCTCTTGTCCGTAAGGCCAGATATGTGCCAACAAGTGTCAGTGCCTTAAGCATATAGCCGCCTTTTGCCGCCTGGCCTGGGCTGTGGGTTTTGTCCAGGTGATGCTTGCGCATGCCTTTGCCTCCTCGGCTGGAGCCTGGTCCGACTACAGGACGAAGGCATGCGTGCCTGGTCGTGTCCCTCCTGTGATGTCCCGCGTGATTCCCGTGCTGTCATCCGCAGATCCGGGTGTATGGGGGAGATGTGCGGAATCCTGTGACACCTTTCTGGCAGCTGCCTCCTCAGAAGCCGCGGAGTAGCATTGGCGCACCAGATGATATCTTGCACGATCGGCACCGGCATCAGCCGAGTTTGAGAGACAGGGGTCAAAGTTAGCCCTAGTTGGTGACATACTGTGGTTTATTGCTTCATTCGGAATCATCTTGGGCTGGTCTTTGCAGGTCCTTTCAGTGTTTTCATCGCGCTTTGATTCAAGCTCTCAGGCCGCAGGCATTGCCGTGGCAGCTACCAGTGTACCTAGATCATCGCTTCATATTCCTCGACAACACACAGGACGTCCAGCTTGTGTGGATGAGACTGGCAGCCGCTTTTTGAGTACCTCCTTACTGGTGACTTGCTGGCAGGACTTTGGCTCACAACTCTACAGCCATGGCCAATGTGAGGTCATGGCCGCAGAGGGAGTGTGCTCGTGCATGAGCCGCTTTTATCTCGAACGTGCCCGGGAGGTTGGCCAGCTCTTCGACGTCGTGCTGCTGCGGCAGGGCTTGTGCTTCTGCGATGATCCATCGAAGACATCGACAGCCTGGCCGCAGCTTGGTGTACTAAGATTCCGCAGGCTTTTTGCCGGCGGCGTGTGTCGCGTGGCTTAGGCTGGAAGTGAGCCTTTCCTGCACCTCCTGTGAGAACTGTCGGGCGGCTTTGAGCTCCGAGCAGCTACAGGCCCAGGCCAGGCCTTCGCCTTCCGCAAGCGTTCGAGGATCCTCGAAGACCTCAGCACTCTTTAGTCTCGAGGCCAAACCTTTGTGTTTCTAAATTTGGTGGACGCGGTGCCGTGAGCTGGATCCTTCGCTTAAGCCCGCCTGGCCAATCTATCTACACCATCGTTATGATCAGTTAAAGCTGAAGTATTGCCGATGTTCCCTTTGGCCATCCTCCGGACACAATTTGACATGTCGCATCTTGCAGCAAGGACACCACGATCCCAACATTCTGACAGGAATCAGCACGCACACAACCAAACCTGCAGCTGTTACATGGATAGTCACATGACCAGGCTTAGCAGCGAATCACAAAGCTCCCCTTTCTTGTCTTTGCCTTCAGTCACCACCCTTGCCACTTGTTCGTCCAATGCCACCACTGCCCCCACCGCAAGCAAAGGCATTATACGCCAGGATCAGCACCGGCACCTGCAGTTTCTCTGTCGTCAGCGCAGTGGCCGATGCCGCCACAGTCCTGGTCGTCATGGCCGTCGCTGCCACAGCGGCCGCTGTCGTCGTCGTCGCTTTCGTTTTTGTAGTCGTCGTCATCATGATGGTAGGCCCGCCCATGCGCTCTTCATTGTCTTCTCCCTTTTCGCTTTATGGGCTCGCACTTGTCCAAATTTCCTTCATATCCAAGCTCGCGTGATTTTCCCGCAAGATATTCCAGGAACCGGCCGTCGTTCGTGTCACTACAATTTGCGGTGCCGGGCCGAATTGTGAGAACTGCAGGAGTACTCGGAAGCTTGCGACGCTTGAAATTGCCTGTGCAACCAAGGTGTGTATCGTCTGGAGCAGCATCCCCAGCACATCGTTGCAGCTTTTGCCTCACAGTATGCCAACAACGCAGAGCAAGCGAGGCCCTTCCTTTGCGAGAATCGGCCCGCCTATCGCTTGGGACGTTGTGTGCTGCGGTGGTCGTGCTCTCAATTGCACATCTGCTGGGCAACACGGGCTGTCCACTGTCACTGTTTGCTTATAGGTGTCCCGATCGACTAGAGTGGGCCGTCTTGGATGACGCAGATGGTGGAGCTTGGGCGTTTGCCCGCGGGGCCACTCCGACGGCTTTTGCAAACGCTAGAGCTTGGCGAGAGTTGGCATAGCAATGCATCATAGCAGGACCTGGGACACCCAACCCTTTCACGGGGGCCCTGGACAGTCTGGGATGGCCAGAGCCGCTTACCGAGTCCGAGTCGTGTGCTTCTGCTCCGCCAAGTTGCTAAGCGTTCTCCCCCCCTCGCTTTCAGACCACGTGGCGGACGCAAGCTTCGCATGCAACTTGGTGCAGCCTGCTGCATCGCCTCCGTGAGCTGCCAAGTGGAAGCACATGGGCATTCCTTCCCGATTTCCTTGAGTCTGGTGCACTGCAGGTGGCATCTCTTACCCACGCAGCTGCGAGCTGAGTCTAGCGCCAGTAAGAAATCACCGTCTCAGCAGCACTGGCAGTCACTAGCCAGCAACTGTCTTACTCCTGCTTTCGAAGTTGATGTAGTCGTTTGGGGCTCGGTGGCACGTGCCAGGCAGTTAGCTTTACGCAGGCTTGCAATGTCCCGCAACGATTCCGCGAGCAAAGTGCATGACAATGGCCGTCACAAATTTGATGGTATGGCTTCTCATCATGGTGCCAGCACTCAAGCAGCTCAATCGAAAAGACGTCTCTTGTCCGATAGATCTGCGGCTGATTCTTGGCCTGATTGAGGTGCGACCTGCCACATTTCCACAACTGGGACTGTGTGGAAGAAAAAGTGCCACTGGACTGGGATGAAGTGCATGCAGCGGTTCTGGAAGGCTTCCAAGGACGGTGCTTGAAATGCGATGTGTGTCGCGAGGGCACCTTTCGAACTGACATGAACATGCAGGACCCGGTGATCCTGACTTTTTCGTACCTGGTGAGATCTTATACGCCTTCCGGGCAAGCAGTGAAGCTGCCATGCAAGCATGCCCTCTCGGTGCACTATACCTTTCCATTGTCTACTCATATGCTTTGCTGGTTAAGCACGCCGATCGTGAGGTGCAGACACGACACAGTGAAACTGTGTCGAGCATGTTACGGGCTTTTCCGATTCTAGTGATTGCCGGCTCGCGCTGGCCTGTCTACGAAGCGTTGCATCACTTCAGCGGCTTTCACGAGCCAGTTTCCCAACGATCTTCTGCGGTTGTAGTCTGCCAGGGTGCCACGTCTGCATCAGGCATTGACTGGGGGCAACTGCTGAAACACGCCACCCTCTTTTGCAATCAGGGAATGCTCGGGCTGGAGCCCGGGCAGGGATCGCTGGAACACACGCTTTCTTTGAAGACCGTGATGGATGCTTTCGGTGCGGAACCTCAAAGGGTCGCCGATGCAGCCCAGACTGAATGTCCTTTGGGCTTTCTTTTTCTCTGCGTTGTGCAAATGGCCGCTGCAGCAATGAGGTTAACTGGCAGAGTTCAGAGTTGGGCAGAATCTGTTGAGAAGCTTATGAAAGATTTACCTTTCTATTTGGTCTCTGCATCCCAGTGGCCAATTTATCCAGTCTTGGGCATGCTGTCCGCCATGTTCCAGCGTCCTGAATACAGTCGTGCACTGGGTCGGCAATTTCATGGAGAAGTGCACAGATGGGGAGGCACGCATCCTGTGGCCAAACGATTCCGTGCCTTTGGTGATTTACGCTTGCTGCCCGAGGAACTGATGCCGTTTGGATTTGATGAGACGGCAGAGGTCCAGGTGGAGATCCTCGCAGCAGCCAGCCCTAACGAATGGCTAATTGGCATGGCGGATGCAATCCAGGCATTAAAGATGCGACCGATCTTCAGAACAGTTCTGGACACTATCATGCAGCTTGTCAGAGCTTCGCAGCGGCATCAGCTCAGAGAGTGTGGTTATTCCGGCATTTCGCACGACAGGTGCAGAGTGCGAGGTTGTTCTTGGAATGCAGATGCTCTCCCTGCGTGCCAGCTGCCGCAGCCGAAGAGAAAGGTTGTCCTCACTACTTTCATGTGGGGGCCGCGTTGGTCCCGCTTGATTCCGGCCTTTGTGGCGTGGATGCACAGACTGCGCATACCAACTTTGGTAGTGGCGATGGGGCAGGCATGCCGGGAAGCATGTGAAGTGGCCGTTGAAGCCAATGGTGGCTGGGGGAACAGCTTGGTTGGCTGTTGGGATCCCTTCGTGCAGCTCGCCAAGAAGCCATGCGGCCACGTTCGGCTGTTGTTGTCTGGTAAACGATGATAACGATGGAAGGTGGTACAGTGATAATGGCATTCAGACCTATGTAGGCGCAAGTTAGATGCCCGCCTCACAAGGAACAGCAAAGCTCCGGATTCGAACCAGGAGCTCGGCTCAATACTTCAAAGGCACAGTGTGGTGCACTTGCTGCTTCAGCTTGGCATTGACGCGAAGCTTGGCAGCTCAGCAGCTTTTCCATGGGTTTGCCTTCCTGTGCCCTGTGGTATCTTGAGCTTAAGGTCAAAATGCTTCTGCCGAAGCCCACTTAAAGCATAGTCTGTCGTGGTGACGTTGCTTCTTGCCTGCAGGGTCGCCTTCGACTTCGACACATTTCTCTTTGAAGATCCGCGGCACCATTTGGAAACGCTTGCAGAGGCCAAGCAATTGGACATATTGGTAGCCCGGCATTTGGATGCGGACTGCTTGAACATGGGCCCTTTCCTGAGTACGAGCGGCTCCTTCGCTTGCAAGTTCCTTTCTGCTAGTGCCACTTACTCCCAGGCTTCCTTTACATCCGTTCGTCCGCCCGAACGGCGGAGTGGTATACGAGGTGGGCTGCGGGGCAGAGTGACAGGCTGTTACGTGAAACGATCATATCATTTTGGCCTTTGCAAGCTCCAGAGGCTCTGTCTTCGCAAGGTATTTCTCCTGGTTACATCTGCACCCCTATGAAAGGGAGCAGCGTGGTTTGAATGCGCTCCTAAAGTTTACTGCTCAATCGGCAAGGCCCTGAGTTTCTTGTGAGCGTGGGTCAGCATGGACGCATTTGGGAAGTAATGGTTTCGGCAGGGGAAACTTGAGGTGTCCTTCCCTCCAAAGATGCCCCGAGTGGCGTCTGCTGCACTGGACGATTCAAACGAGTTTGTGAGCAGTCGTGGCGGCTGGCTCGGCGACTGGAAACGACTGAAATTCTTTCATTGGGTGAACCCTGCTGTGACTCTTTCGAGCGCTGGCTGCATTCAGTGGCCGACGTCTTTTTCGGCAGCACGACCCCCAACACCTTGCCGCCCAGGAACTGGCTGGAGCTGAAGCTAAGCGACATTGCTGCGCTGTACGAACTCGCGCTTCATCATGAGACAGACCTGGCTTCGTACGGCATGTCTTTGGGCCGACTGCTGGCTGTGGAAGGAGCTGATGGACCTCAGACAAGAATGATGCCTCAGCCTCAATAGGAGAACTTTATGTGCGGTTAACCAGACAGTAGAGCCTGTCAACACCTGTCCATTTCCAACCTGATCCACAGGCGCACAGTGCTGGAGGAGTTCATCATCGCGGAAGCACCGCCGAGAACAACCTGCTGGTGAGCAGTGGATGCACTGGGTAAGGAACATGCCGCTCATGCAGGCCAAGGATCCGTACTTGGCAGTGCAGTCCGGCCATGAAGCCTGGCATCCTCCTTCTGCAGAACGCCAAGCCTTGAGGTCACAGTGGCAGCTGAAAGGCACTGAGAGGTCACGGAGCAGTGCGCAAAGGCGACCTTCCAGTTCACCCTTTTGAGAAGGCGCATGCTGCCGGCCTGTGCCATGGTCATCCACGATCGCCACCTGTCATTCTGTCTGTTGGATGCCTTGGCGCCCGCACCAAAGCTGGGCTCGCCGCGTCCCAGAAAAAGCGCACGAAATTCCGGCCGAAACACAACCCATGCGACACCAGGAAGAAGAGTTGGATGTGCCGCCGAGGCGAATGGTCTGCGCGGGCGTGACCGGAGATGTTGAAAGCATCATCCGGTTCCTGCACCGGATTGTCTGGGCCCCGCAGGCTCTCTGGAATTCTTCTGCCCTGTTTTCGAACGAGGCAGCAATCCTGGACACGTCTAGACCAGATTCCTTTGGATTGCTTCACGGTGCCTGGACAAATGGCACGCAGGTGAGGGCCTTGGCTTACAGCGCTGACCAGCTCTCGACCCAACGCTGCTTCGCAGTCCAGGTGGAGGTGGAACAGTTGCACCGACAGCTCATGGAGGCCGCACAGGTTTACAATGTGGGGGGCTGAGTGCCGCCACTTGCAATCTTTGTGCCTGGAGCTGGACATGGCTCGAGGACCGGCGGAGGGCAGCAGGAGGCTTGCCACTTCATGCGGTCGTGACCTTAAGCGGATTTTCTCTACTCTCGCATGTAATGAGCTGGGCTCTACTGACCTTCTGAAGGCTTGTGTTCTTTGGCGCACGGCGGCGACACAGTATTGGTTGCAGTGCGCACGAGCCCAAGACCTGTTGGCAAGCCAGTCGCTGAGCCGCTGAATAGTTAGATTCGATTAGTTAGAACAGCTCGATGAAATGCAGGATGGCATTGTTCTCTTCCAGCCTGGCAGCGCAGCGGATCCATACAGGGCGTATGGTTGGCAGCTCACAGTTGATTGGTGGATGTTCTCCGGCATTTATTTGGCCGCTGAGGTGCAGCTCCCATCCTCTGACAGGGCTCCAAAATTTTCCTGACCTGACTGCAGGATTGAGCAACACCCATCGACTAGCGGCCGTAACAAAGTCGATGAATATGTCGGAATCGTCAAGCATCGTTATTGACTTCTGCAGCGGCCTTTTCACAGCTTCGGAGCCTCTTATCGAGCTTGCAAGGCAGGCATAGTCCGCAAATTGCGGCTACAGTGAGGAGAGGTTTTCAACTGCCAGTTGACCGTGCAAACCTTGCGAGAGTTTGCGCGTACTTGCCTTTTGTGGCGGTTGGCTTGTGCGGCACTGGCTTCCGTTCGTGTTCTGAGCTGTTCAATCTGTCTCTCTTGAATCGAATTCAGACGGTACACTCGTGATCTGCGCCGCAGAAGTGGCAGCAAAAGGAGGTTGCAGAAGCTTGAAAGGCCAACAGCCGCGCTGATGTTGAACACTGCATTGTTTCTTCAAGTTCAAGCTGGCCCTCTACTAGTAATACAGGACGTGTCTCGCATGTGATGATCACACGGACAATTGCAGTCGCTGCACGATGCCGTGTGGCTCGTTCGTGGCGTAGTAAAGAGAGTGGCCAACGCTGTGCTGCAGCAGCTTGCCAGAGCAAGGGCATGGCATAATTTTCAAGTGAGTGCATACGAGTAAGGTTTCGATATAATGCATGGTCACTGTAGGTGCGATGCTTTTCAGGCATCACCATGCGATTCAGCGCATTCGCTTCATGTTAAGCTTGACAGGGCCACTAGCCGCAACTAGCCATTCGTGCTGCATGTGAGCGGCTGCCGTCGGAGACCCTTGACCAGGCAGGATGCTCCTCACAATATTCTGGACATGGCCAAGGGAGTCTGCTGAACTGCCCAGGTGTAGTCTTGGCGCGATGCAGGCGGGATGCCGAGTTGGAGTGAGAACGGCTCGGAATTTTGAACTCCGAGGACAATCCGGAGCTGCCCTCGCTTGCCCTGAATCTCAACTTCAGCCTTGAGTCACCTCAGCAGCGTTGGCGAGATATCTTGGCACAGTCCAACAAGGTGCCCCAACCTACTATAGCAGCCGTGAAATCCGTTGACTCGTCTTGTCCGTCAGGAAATGCTGCAGGAGCTGCTGGCATCAAAAGCGAATGGAACGGATTCCAGGCCTGGAGCTGCAACATGCTGCACTATGACAGAAGCACTTTGTGCATTCATGACGTGACCTGCAGGACCATCGAGGAGATTGCCCTGAGCGTTGCCGACCGCATCCTTGCCAGCGAGCCTGCGCAAAGCTTGCTGGAAGTGGACCCTGCCCTGAGCCCGCTGATGAAACCGGTGCCGACCGATGACCTGCTCAAAGGCGCGGCAGTTTCTTGTTTGTCGGTCTGCATGGGATCAGGAAAGGAAAGCCGCATGCGAGACACACGAATGCGAGTTTATCCTGGGTGAACCTTGCAGTAGGGCACGTGCAGGCCCGCAGTTGGAGGACATCCAGGTCACGGGCTGGCACATCTGGAGTGGCAAGGCGGGGTCTGCTCGTCAGACTTCGCATGGTGGAGCCATGTGGAGCCAGACGCGATGCGGTCAGGTCAAAGATGCGAAACAAGCAGAAGAGGAGCTGCGCAAGTCATCAAAGCAGTTTTCTTCTCCCCACGGCAGGGCCCTTACTGCCACAAGTCCGCACGCCGATTCTGCCAGCACGCTTGGGAGCCTTTTGAAGTTCCAGGTTCACTGTCAAGGAGGTCAATGAGCCAGGACTTCGACATGCGGGACTTTGACCATCGCATGCCGGAGCAAGTGAGTGGCTCCTCTGATGACGGTGAGATTTCCCGGAACAGGCCTGGCAGGTTCAGCTGACAGCATCTTGTCGTGACAACGTATGAATGTGCACATGCACCCAGAACTCGCGGTCTCGTTTTCCAGGATGCATGCTGGACTGGAGCTACGCACCACCACGCAGCAATATACATGGATGCGCTGGGATGGTAAGCCGAGAGCTGTGCTGCTCGTGGCAAAGCAAGGCAGGGTGGCCCTGTAATCGTTGAGGTGAAGAGTTCCGGGATTGAGCTGCTTCTTGCTTGCAGGCGATCCTCAGGTTACAAGGAAGCTGAGAGACATAGCCTCGTGGATAGATTCTCAAGGCAGGGAGAGCAGCGGAGTAGCAGTCGAGTTTTCGACAAGTTTTCGAAAAGTTTCTTTGGAGGCTGTCACGTTGTGCTGGAGCCCGAACTCTGGGACGAAGTGCAGGGCAGGAGCCCTGGAATGAAACCGGAGCCCTCACCACGAAAGGTTTGTTGGTGTGCCGGCCCATGCGACTGCCGAAGACTCGTCAGCAAAGTGAAGCGCGAAGAGATGAGCTTCGCTCCGAAGTGGCAGTGGGGCACCTCCGAGGGGCTTCCACCCGGCTTTGCACAGCGTTGCCGCACCTGGACACCCAAGCAAGACAAGCTCGAGGAGCACATTGACTTGGTGATTTCTTTGGGAGGTGATGGGACTTTGTGCTGGACCTCTGGCCTCTTTTCCGGTGCTATGCCGCCAATCATTGCATTCGCAGCCGGGTCGCTGGGTTTCTTGACGCCCTTTCCGCTCTCGGACTGGATGAGCGTCCTGATGCCCATCCTGGGAACGAAGAGCGAGGCCTCCCTTGACACGAATGACAGAGTTGGCCGGGTTGTTTTTCAGGTTTCCAAAGTTTCAGAGGCTTCGCAATCTCTCCCAGGCCCCACACGTGTAGGGTACTTCTGTTGGTGTGCTCATGCACCGGATCACCACAGTCATCAACAGGCAGCCCTTCGGCTGACCCGCTTTTTGCTTCAGGTTCGCTTGTGCACTCTGCCTTCTTGTTGACAAGGTTGCCCCGCCACTGCAGCTTGTTTGCAGAATGCGTTTCCAGATGCGTCTGTACCGGCACGAGGAGGACCCACATTGAATAGAAGCCGTTCAGATCACCTTCGCTTTGGCTTCTGGCAGGACGATCCTGAAAATTCACCTGCCATCCCAGTTCAGTCCATGAACGAGGCAAGGAGACGGATTGGTGTGGTTGCTTTAGCAACACTCCTTGAAGCGGCCGTGCAGGTTCTAGTGCATAGAGGAGCGTCGCCACACCTGGTGAAACTGGATGTGTGTGCCAGCATCTTAACCTGTTGTGACCGAAAAGCACTGACTGTGCATGTTGACGCAGAGCCCTGGCCACTAGCTGGCGTGTCGTTACAAGGTCAACGACAAGAGCGTGACGATGGTGCAAGGGGATGGCCTTATCATGGCGACGCCCACCGGAAGCACTGCCTACTCCTTGGCAGCAGGAGGCTCCATGATGCATCCGGCTGTGCCTGGCATCATCCTGACTCCGGTCTGCCGTGTGCTCAGCTGGCCAACCCCTTGTGAGGGCACGGCTCACTGGCATCGCTGCAGGTCCACATTCCTTGTCCTTCCGACCGGTAGTTCTGCCAGACAGCGCGGCCAGGACCTCAGGAATTCGAAGACAGTATCGTCATGTATCGTCTCTGTCGTAGAGCCAACATTACGAAGCAGCAAGTTGTTGCTGCGACACCCACCCAGCCTGCTACAACCTGCTTTTGTGCACACGCAGGGGCAGGCATGCTTTACGCCCCATACTCTTCCAAAGGTTGCGATTTCTGCGGCTAAGACCTCTTGCCTTTTGGCAGGGAAGGTCTCCGCTTTGACTCTTGAGCATTCCCGGCTATGTCACATTAGGTTCTTGGTTCATCAGTAGGCCAAAAGCGATTTCTGCTGAACCTCCGGAGTCAAACCAACAGGCAGCTGCACCATGTCGCGTCTTGTAGCCCCGAAGACGACGTTCATTTTGCTCAGTGGCAGGTCCAAGTGTGTATAAAAAGGCGACAAGTTCACGAGACACGATGCACGGATGCTTTGCCAATGTCATTCTTGCACACTCTCGTCGGAAAGGTTATTTCCACCATATGCTCCAGTTGCCGGCGTTGTCGAGTTGAGGTTGTGAAAGTTCGAGTTCCCCCAAGTGCTCGGAGCTCCCGAGTTATGGTGGCTGTTGACGGCAAGGCGAGGATGGATCGCACTCGCTATGAGTGTCCGGTGGCAACGGAAGAAACGTGTCAATTGCTTGTAGGACCGAATCGAGCTCAAGCGTGGTGACTCCATAGAAGTTGCTGTTTCACCATATCCGCTGCCGACCATTTGCCGGGCTTCCGCCGCTTGCTTTGCAAATCCAATGCAGGCACCGAATGTTGGGTTTCTTGATGGTGCCCTTGGTGCTGGTGCCCTCAGCACGCTTCTTCCGAGGTCACGAGAGACTGGTTCAGATCCGTCAATGAAGCACTTCAATGGAACCGGCGCTTGGAGCAAAAGGGTCCGAAGTAACAGTCTGCCCGCAGCATAAAGCTTGCTGTTCTTTGATTGTAGGATGTATCGCAGGAGGTGGCAAAGGCCACATGACCTGCGAACACTGTAGCCACACAGCGACAATTTGATCGTGAAGCTCGGGCTTCACATTGCTTACCAAAACTGTTCAATATTGCTTGCAGTCGCTGCAGGATAGAGCCGTCGAGGGCGTCCTGCGATGCAACTGCCTTGCTTTTGGGGGTTCAAGAATCTGAACATACCCACAGGCGACCTATGCACGCGACGCTTTGTACCTGGTTTGTCCCTTTCCTTTTGCCTTCCACAAGTGTTCTTGTGTTTGAATGCTGTCCGATGTAGCAGTAGCTTTCGGGCAGTGTCCAGCACAATCTTCAAGTCGCGGTTTTCCCGAGGAAAAAATGCGCAGCACATGGATGGTGCATGTTTGTGTGTGTGTGTGCGCGCATCTACTTGGATAGGTGCATGAAGCAGCTGCTGTTTTGGTCCTGTCGTTATGTTGGCTGCTCAAGTAGAAAAGGAGAACCCAATCACAACAACGCAGAACTGCACGTCCTCTAGATAGTTTAGACAAGACCCTTAACGTTGCTCTCCAGGCCCCACGTTTGAATATGTGCAAGATCCGTGGTGTGACAAGGAGGGCAGTTTCAGAGACTTCGCCAAGCATTGACGCCTTTCGATCTGATATCACAATGACCGAGCAGTGCACCACTCGCGTGGTCGTTTCTACAGCTGCAGTCCCGCATACTCCCGATCGGCCATGCTGCCCTTTGAAAGGTGCAATGTGGGAGTCATCCTCGGTTGGTGCTAGGAAGCTGTGAAGCTGTTCGTCTTGGGTCTCCGTGTCGAATTTGTAGTGGAATCAATGAGGCACGACGCCTTGGTGTGCCGCACCTGTGGCCATCCCGAGTGAAGGCAGGGGAGATGCCAGAGCTTGCTCGCCAGAATCGAGTCATGCTGTTGGTGGCTTCATGACAAAGATGACAAAGTCTGTCAGGTCTTCTTCCTGGCAATTTTGACGTCAGTCTTCAACTTCAGTGTGTTCCAATACCTGCACAACGCCATGGCCCTGGCACAGTAGACCTGCCAGATCAGGACGCTCGAGCACCCAGGCCAATGTGGCGTACCTGAACTTATCTTCGCCGTCTTCCAATGAAATCGTGTGCAAGCTTCCGCGGGAGCGGTGCTCTTTGTGTTGCCTCTCAGGAAACAAGTGGGTGGATGCGGGGTCGCGCTGAACACAGTTGCTTCTTCGCAGGAAGAGTGCGCCAGCAACCCAGACCCGGCGAGATGCACCGTGGACTTGGAGGATCGGCGTTTTTGGAGAGGCCAATGTGCAACGTAAGTCAAGAGATGTGCAAGTTCGAGTGATGCCCAAGACAACATCGCTTACCTTGACCTTCTTGGCTCTCAGCCGGCTAAAGACAGCGTGAAGCAGACCATGGCTGCCAGCCCTCGATTGGAAGCATCACCATGGGTGAAGAGCCTGCGCCGCCTTCGGGTGCTTCTCTCTGAAGAAAGCGAGATCGCCAAAAGCCCCGTGGATTGCAGAGCAAGGAAGTGGTTTATTGTCCTGCTCCGTGCAAGTTTAGAAACTCTGGGATGACCGTGTTCCGCGGCCCAAGTAACAACCTGGAGTACCATGCAAACCGTTGCAACATTAACCACGTTGTGCGATTGAAATCCAGGCATACAGATAATCTCCCAGCTCCTGGTCCAGCAAGGGCATGTCGAGCCGACATGAATGGCTTTCGGCCGTCAAGCCAATCAGGTTGGGGACATAGGCTCTAGAAGCATTCGCGACGAAAGGTGAGAGCGAACTAATCATTCAAATCAACAGAGCACGTTTGGTCAGTGGGAAGGTTGGTAGTGTTGGGTGAGCAGCACAATGCACGGCGAATGCAGTTGGAAAAAACAGGCGAACCGCAAACAGAAAGGTAAGATGTTGTTTTAACATGTGCTGACCGGCAATCGTACTGCTGCCGACCTTAGTAAGTAGCAAACATTAACAGTTCCTTCCAACTCTGCACAAGCCGGCAAACACCTGCCCCTGCAACAGCCTAATCGTATTGGATTGAGGTCAGATGGCCTGCATCATGAATTCCTACCCCGTTGGGAGGGTTCAACGTAATCCAACCACCTCGCCTGGAGTGTCCGAGTGCGACAGTCTCAACAGCATAAACCCGACGGGTGCGGCCAGAAGGCAGTGATTTTTTCCGCTGGCAATTATCATGAGACACCGCACCGCAATTATTGCTGTTCGCACCCACAACCCGAATACTGCACACAAGTCAAATTTGCGAGACTACTTCGTTTGATTGACTGTCTTGGAAGCCTAAGGCTTCGTGAATAGCGACGACCCGGAGCTCGAGATTCCCGACCGAGAGCTCTCTGACGGCAGCAGTTTGCGAGAGAAGCAGCTGAAGGTCGTTTTGGCAGATCTGCACGAGCAACATCCCGACCATGCTGAGTGTGAAGCAAAAGAGATTGGCCTCCTTGCAGAGTCCACAGTGGAGCTGGTGGGCGTCTATGAGAAGCTGAGTCGTTCGGCCCAGCTGCCAGATGTGAGCGATGTGGCAAAGGCGGATCAGTTCAGGGCTGTTGATGCTCAAAAAGCAGCCCTTCTGGCAGCACGGATGGCCCTCAAGGACCGATGCTCGGTGATCATTGGGCATGGAAGCCCTTTCTGCCCTAGGATGCAGTAGCAAAACCAAACGCTTACAGTTCCGCAGTAGGGGCACGGATGGGGCGCGACACCAATCCCAGTCGGCGATAAAGTTGTTTAACCAGGCATGCATGTTGTGGCCCAAGTATCTCTGTGCCTCAGGCTCTAGTGCTAGAGGGGGAGCGCTGTGCCTTTTGATGGAGCTGTCAGTCTTTAGTTGTCCAAGGAGAATGGGCTCTGGTGGAAGCGAAGCATCGTTCGCAGCAGCTCGAGGAGGAGCGTGTGCAGCAGGAGCCCGAGCCAGACTCGACTGTCCGCAGGTAGTCTTCTCTCCAGCTTTGATCATGCGCTCCTGACCGAAGCCCGTCGCATGTAGATTCTTCGCGCTGTTCCTTCTGCTGCTGGGTTCAAACTGCGCAGGACTGTCGCATTCGGGCCTTGCAGACGGCCTTGGACAAGGCTGTTTCGTCCAGGATTCCATTCAGCAAGTCTTCAACCCCTGTGTACCATGAGCATCTCTGCACTCTAATGCGCTGGATGTGTCGCATCCCTGAGGACAGAAGCTGAGAAGCGTCACCTGGAAGCGTATTCCACAGCGGATGCCGAGGCAGAAGCTGTTGCCAGGTCAGCATGCTGCCGTTGAAGCATGGGTGGCATTTGCCTCTTCAAGAGGAGTGCTTGCACAGTCTACCGAGGTCTTCAGTCTTCGTTTTCCTCGACAAGGGTACATGTTTCTGTTGGTAGATGCAGGGAGTTACGCGAAGTGAAAGCCAAACATGGGTTGCCGAAGCTTCTTTGGACTTGGGACTGCGGTCATGTGGCAAATCACGGCGCTTCAAAAAATGGACACGTCAAAGCCTGTTCCAGAACGGAATCTTGGGGTCAAGTTGCTGACAGGCCGCCGAACAAAGGGGCGAGCTGAGGAGGCGGCTCTCAGATGCGGAGGTCGCAAGGGACCAGGCCATGACTGCCGGTCCTGTCAGACTTTCGCAAGGTGCACCATTTCTTTCTGCAACTTGTGAGCCCTTTCACAGGCGATGGCTGGTCTTGCTGCTGTTGAGGATCGCATTGAGGAGGTGCGCCAGCTGGCCGATCGGCGAGAGGAGGACCACTGAGAAGTTCAGAGTTCTTCGACGGATGAGGCTGTGAAATCAGCAGGACTTGCTCGCCCAGCTGGCCGCTCGCGAGGCACAGTTGGAGGACGCCGTGGTGCCAAGCCCCGACTAGACTAACGCCTCAGGCCTGCGACCTGAGTTGGTTGCTGTGTAAGCTCAAGAGGAGCTGCAGCAGAAGCTCGGCAACAGAGAGGACGAACGACCGGAGATGCCAAGAGAGGTCGGCACTCGCGACGTTTGCTCACGTGCTACCCACGTAGCCTTTGGAGCATTTGGAGGACCCCGTGGCCGTGGTCCCGCGAACGAAACCCAGCTTCCGGCTGCAAGGAATGCCCAGCGGAGGCACGTTGACTTTGCCGCCTCACAGATCTCGGTGCTCAGATGTGCTCTCTGTGCGCAGGGCTCACGGAAGAATCGCACATCCACGGCGTGGGCATGGTCATGGCCACGCCGCGGCTGCACTACGACCCGAAGCCGAAGCCTGCCGTAAAGGCGGTGGATCCGAGGCCACGACACGTGAATTCAGCGATTCCGACTCATCCACAGCATGGCTGCCTCCTGCAGGCAATCCAAAAAATCGACGGGTGCGGCAATGCCAATGGATTTGAAATCCTTAGGCCGGAATGCGACCTCTCCACTGTGATTTTGCACCTGTGCAGCATGGGTCAAACCAGCTGCTGCGTCGCAGGAAAACTGCTCAGCGGAGGAGGCATGCTTGGAAAGTAGGCGGCGGACCCAGTAATTTGTCTCTATTCCATGCTTGACTGCCGGATGATTGAGACTTTCATGACGCCGGTGGCAACGGCTGTCCACGGAACTGTTTCTTCTTTGTGCTGTGCCTGCCTGTGCTCGTTAGTCATGGTGTGTCAACCCTGCAGCAAGCAACGGACCAAAGCAGTTCAGATGTCGGGCCAAGCCTCTCTTTAAAGTCGCAGAACGGCGTTGGCAATGTCCTGCTCGTTCGATCTGATCCTGCAGTGTCTGCGGAGTCTCACGCGTTTCTTTTGACTTTAGGATGGAGGCGATCGCAGTTAGACCGCTTGTCAACGCATGGCAAGATCGACTCCATCCGACGCCAAGATAATGGACTAGTGTAGTTGGCATGGCACTCGCCGACGGTCCAAGACCCGAGGGAGTGGCATCAGCAAGGGCATGGTTTGCACTTGGGAACTTGCGCACGCGTGGACGGACCTCATACTTGAATCTGCTGTAACTACTCTCGTTCTCAACCTTTGAGTGATGAGCCCTGCCCAGCTGATGGCAGCTGGCTTTGGAAGATTGCAGTGGGCATGATGTGGGAAGATGAGCTGCGTGAATCTTTCCTAATGTCAGTACAGGTTCCAGCTGAGCACGAAAAAGATCAGCTGTGCAAGACGGCTGTGTCAATGCTGTTCCACTGCTTCAGAAATCGTGGTACAGCCACGGCCAGCTGCGTTGAGTTCATTTACATGCTGTCCAGCCAGGTTTGAATCTGACGACCCCCTGCCCGCAGCTCCCGGATTCAGTCAAAGGCCCGTCTTCGCAAATCTAAATCACAGAGATCGGCGGAAAATCCTGCGTGAGCACCTGCCAGGTCAGACATGTCGGGCCCTTGCCAGAAGGCAGGTTTGTGGACGCGTTTTGAAGTTCAAGTTGGCTGTTCAGGCCACAATCCATGGCTTCCACTCCGGGCCATGTCCGGAGACCTGGGGAGCCTTCATACGGTGAATGTGGGCTCGGGTCTCGGCGAGTGTGCCGTGTCCCACCGCAGCTCCAAATCGAAGTCTTCTTTTGAGGTGTTCATCCTTTCAGACTTTGGAGCATCTTGTTTCTCATCCTCACGTCGCTGCTCAGCCTTGCGATTCTCATTCATGACTGAGAGTGCGGTGTAGAAGGTGACCTTTGCCTGATACCGGATCTGGGCTTATTTATGTCTCTGCGTAGGATCTGGCCCTTCTCGCAGAAGACCAGCGACCGTTCATCTTGCCGCAACCTACGGCCTGCTTAGTGGAGACCTCCGAAGAGCAGCGTGCTGAGCCGAGGTCGATTCCCAACATGAAGTATGCTACTCCTTGTTTGTGGGACTGCTTGACGTGCCTGCAGCCCAGAGTGTCGTGTAGCTCTCCTTCTCAGTGTGAGGGGCGAGGCTGCCCCCCGTAGGTGTTCGAGGACGACAACAGACACGGCGTATTTGGTCGCAGAATCGCTGCGTTCTGGCCGTGCTGGTGCAAGCCCAAGCAGCCCTGCGTTTGTTTCGGCTCTTATCAGGAGGACCAATCTTCAAGCTTGGGTGGCCGGAGTCACACGATTTCAACACAATTTGCAAATTCTAAAGCGGTTGAGGAGTTTGTGTTCTTGCGAAGTGCGAAAGACTAAATGGGGAAATACGCCCCCAGACAACTGTCCAAGCCTCCGGTTTCACCGAGATCTTGAAACTTGTAAACGAACTTGGCCTGCTTCCTGCTAAGCCTTGTCTGACTTGACGGACAGGTGCTGTGTATAGTGTGCTTGAGGTCATGCTTTGGTCGCTCTTCCAAACCGTTGCTTTCATGGTGGTGCGCCTCCTCTGTTTATCTTGGTTGGTTCGATTTTGGTCGAAGTCATTTCCCGGAGTCAAGCTACAGGTGATGTATCCGTTCTCGCTGCTGGTGTGCATGGGGCCCAGTCTTGTACGGAGTTGCTGCTCACCTGGAATTCCATGTCTTGAGGTGTATATGCTCCGGTGAAGATGTCTCGAATCATGGCTGGAACCTCGAAGCATTTTGACGCGAGAGGACGATTGCACGAGATGTGAATTTCAGTTTGACTGAAAGAACTGACAGGTCTTTCTTTCATCTATCCTTTGTGCGATGTGGGCCGTTGTTTTTGTGGTCTTCACCTCGCTGCTAGACACCCATGCGCGTCAACCTCAGCTGTCTCCCTTTGAGTGATGCGCAGACGGTCCCCACTGGACAGCTTGGCAAGCTCCGAGCTGGCTGCTCAGGTATGCGGTCTTGTGGGGCGTGTCAGAGCCTGGCTCGTCGACCAGCTGCCTCTGTCTTTGCGAGTTTCCCCTCAGCAGGCTCTCGGGACTCTTTTTGGGGTCTGTGGCCTATGGCCGTTTCAGAAGTACGGGCTCTCGCGACACCCTAAGAGGGATGCCTTGGCGCGTCGTGGCTCTGGAGGCCGGTGGTGCTGCGAATCGTGGTTCTCGGGATTGGTGTGCATTTGCCTCATTTCCGCTCCGCGACTTTCTATGTGCGGACGAGCGAACAGCTTCTCAGGTGCTGGCATTCGATCAACTTGACATTGAGAGCCTTGAAAGGGCTCCGGCGCGCTCAGTGGGCCAATATGTTTGGGCCTCGGGCACCGGCCTTCTATGGGTCCGTCCTCGGCTGTGTTGGTGGAGCCGAGGTTCAGTGTCCTGTATTCTGTTCCCGTGGAAGCGTTTCCTGTGGTGTGGGAGCGGCCCCAGGAGGGTTTACCCTGCTTCGGCACGAGAACAAATGACCAAGCTGTGTGCATAAGCTTTGCAGGAGGCCGGCGGGGGTCCGGTGAAATGGCGAACGGAGGGCGAGGCGCGCGAGATTTGCCTTGTTTATCGGAGCAATTCTCGGCCATTCAAGGCCATGCAGTCAGAGCCTGCCTTTGACCCGTTCTGCCTGATGGACTGCTTCTTGCATGACGCTTGAACTCGACGCGTTGCATTGCATTTCATTTCAACAATTCAATGCATACACTGCATGGTGTTGCAGGACGAGCAGCCAGAAAGTGTCACGACCCAAGAGGGGAAACACGGGGCTTCGATTCCGTACATCGGATCTGTTGCGGGAGGCCTGGACTCGGGCAATCATCGCGCCGGTGCCAGTGAAGGAGAGCTGTTACTGAAGAAGGTCAAGCGCGATTCCCCCTGCGCGATCTCCCAAATACTGCCTGTTGATAATCCTGAGCAGTCAGGACGACTCGCGCTTGAGCGACGGGGCCTCAGTTGGGGAGGTGTTTCGGGTTGGATTTCTTGACGCATCTGTCATGAGGAACGAAAGGACAGAGCATTCTTCGCTAGGAGAGACGTTTTCCTTTCGAGCCAGCAACAGTCTAAAGCAGCTGGAAGCATGATCGAACATGTGCCTAGCAATCTAGCATTTTTGATGGCAGTCGATTGTCATGTAGAGTCAAAGTTTACATGTCGATTCGCTGCGTGGCACGCAGAATCCGTCAACAGTGATGCCAAAGCCGAAGTACTAAGTCACAACAGATTGTGGCGGTTGGGAATGCGGCAGTGATTGTTCGAGCTGTGCATGGCTTAACTTCTTCCTTGGCACATAAGGTTTGGGAGCCGTACTTGGGCACTCTGGACATGGAGATTGGCATCCCTCCCGAGCTTGCGACAAAGTCGTCCCGGCTTCAACATAAACGCTTGCCAGGCTTCTGCGGTTTTCCACGTCCGGTGGGTGGGGCATCGTTCTCGGAGCGAGTGAGCTTGCCAGGGCATGTGGATGTGCGTGTCAAACCAAGGCATGGGAAAGAGACACGGACTGCGAGACCGACTCTTTGAAAAACAAGGAGGAGGTGGAGCCTGTCGTGCAGGACTGCGAAGTGATCTCGTGGTCGTCATGCCTCAGTGCTGATGTTGTTGTTGCTGCTGCTGTTGACAGTCACAGAGAAGATCATGGTGATGCTCCTGCCATGTGGGGACGAGATTAAACTTTAAAGAGGTTCAGGTTAGTGATGTAGCAGCTACAGCGCAAAGCAATGCATGCAGGAAGTGGGAATCACTACATCCTGCAGCCCCGCGCTTTCACTTTTCTGCTCCTTGCTGCGCATGCGTGCTGTCTGGCCTTGGCAAGCCGAGGATCTGACCAAAGTTGTCAGAACGGAACGCCACAAGGTGCGGACCGACACTTTACTCGGTAGAGTCTTCTTTCGACTGCGGCTTTCGGCCTTGTAGAGGTATTTGGTCCCGGAAGGCCAGCACTTTCACAAATGGCGGCAGTCGATGCCTCTGTTTTGTGGCGCAGGTCAAGAAGCGGCCCCCACCAATGCTCTTTCTTCACACAGAGGAAACGGAGGAGGTCTGTTGATGTAGTTGATGTATTCCCCAATAGATGGCATGCAAGGTAACGTCGGGCTCGCTCATGAAAGTCGCTGTTGCCAGAGCATGTTGCGGTGGCTGCTTTTTAGTTCCTGTCAGGACGAGGACTTAGCAATCTCAGATGTGCTCTTCCCTGAGTTGTGAGGGTTGAAACCTTATGAGATGTTTCGGGTAAGCTGTGAGAGGATAGGAGAGCAAGCTCATACTGGTAGCTCTGGTTTGCCGGGATGTTGCAGGGGGAGCCGATGGGAGCATTAGCACTCGGACTTGAGGTTGCAAGGCCTGCGAGATTGGGAGAAGGATCCCGGTGCCAATGGCAGTCAGCCGTGGACCTGGAGCACAATAAGGGGGAAGGGCCAAAGCACCTCTGTTCGACGTCGAGTCTGCCGTCCGAGGCCGGCATCGGCTTCAAACACCTTTCACCGGCGGCTCTCGGATGCTCAGGATATTTTTCACACAGGAGCGCTTCGTCGCTTGCGAAGATCTGTGGTTAATTCACACCGGCAGCTCGACAGACGGCCCGTTCGTGCAGGCCTGTCAGATCTGCGCCCGCCAACTCCGGCTTCTGGTGCATCAGGGCCGCCATCGGCCTCTGTATCACGGCAGCCGACGCCAACTGAACAGAGCGCAGTTCCCAGCTGGCCTTCACCGTAATTGAGCCCCCTGCGGCACGCTGCACGGTAGCTTGAATCTGTCACAACTTCGGTTCCTTGGGGCTTGCTTGTTGTATGTCTGGACAAGGCCACAGAACCGCCGGGGCAATCATCGTCGGGCGCAGGGTGTTGACGCCTGCCGGCAAGTCTGGTCAAGCCTGCATCTCAGATTCTGCAGATGACGCTAAACACTGTTGCCAGCAGGCCCGCTCCATAACACAACACAAGATGTCAGGTGTGGCACTTCTTAACGTGCTCGCTGTCACATCGGGTTCGGGATCGGATGCGGTCGGATGTGCAATGGAGAACATGGAAGAGCAGCATTGTCTAATCAGCATACAAAGAAACAATACTCTGGTACGGGTGACTGGTGCCAAGCATGCTTTCGCTTGACCCTTCCGGTTCGCGAGCGTCTGTGGTTTGTCCACGAGACGTCGTGGGGGTCAGTACCACCTCTCGGGCGTGGCTGAACACTCGAAGTCGTGCTACGAAGGATACGAAACATGTCAGCTTGAGCAGTCTCAAGATCGTGTAGAAGTCATTTCGACATCTTTGGGGCTCTGGGGCTGGCAACAATTCTTCGTGCTCCAACCGGCCACAACTCTTTATCTCCGGTGACCTGAGGCTGCTCGGTGAAACGGCCTTGTTTCAACTTGTTTCATGGTGTGATGCGATGTGATGCAGCAGGTGTTGCTTTTCAATGTGGTAGCTTCAAGTACGAACCACAACACGCGAACGTAAACGGCTGCAGAGGAACGCAGGTTTTGCAACAGATTACGCCTCTCCAGGGCAGGTGAAGTTGCCAGTTGACGGATAAAGATTCATACCGAAGCCTTTCCAGGCACGATCCCAATGTAGTGGTGGAAAGTGTGGATGTTGAGGACCCGCAGCTACGACCTCGCTCCGTATAGGACGGAGGTGTGGGTGATGAGAGACGTGACTTCACTCGTGCAAAAAGTGGCGAGTGTGCTGCTTCGGATAAAACATGAGAAACACGGTTTCAACTTGTCAGGCAAGCGGCGTGCGTTGTCAAGTTTTCAGAGTCCGAGACGTGATGTCTGGTTGCTTGCACATCCTAGAGCGGACATCGTACGAACTTGCATCAACTTCCAAACTTAGTTTCGGAATCGTGCTCGCATGTGATAGGCTGGTAGCACAGGCCACGTCGGTGATTGCAGCATATCATGAGAGGAATGTACGCCAACCATCAGGAAGTACGGACATGATGTCTGCCGCTGCCGCTTTTTCAGCCGAACCAATACAAGCAGCCTCGTTGAAATTCCAATGCCCACGGCTTCGAGGTGTTGTGCCTGCTGCACCACAAGCGTGCTTGCTTCCTCATGTGTCTGACCGTACCCAGCAGACCACCTTCAGAGAAGGAGCGAGAAGGGATGAAGGAACTGAGACCGCAAGGAAATGTGCTCGTGTATGCACCACTTGGGAGGGTGAAGAAGGTTTGTACGAGCATTTATCGGCCCCGCTATGCACCGCCTGGATCTTCATGTTGTGAAATCAGCAATCCAGTGTCGGCGGAAAGGCATGGGTTTGGGAGCAGCACTTGTCTTGTTGAACAAGGGGGGGTTACGGATCTAGTACTCAAGGAATATCAAAGTCCAGTATCGGCCTCTGTGCTTGCTTGCAGCTTTTCTGAGCTGGCAAAGGCGCGTGGTTCCAGATTGGGCCCTCCGAGCCCACCGTTCCTCGTGTGAGCCAGGGATGGCTTAGGCTCTGCAGCCTGGCGCGTGGTTTCACTAGGATGGGACAAGTGAAGCCAGCCGCATCCCGTAAAGGGGAGACCCCACAGCACTCCCTGCACATGTTTCATTTCTGTAGAGAGGCGATGTAGTCTGGACATGCAGTGACGCCGCATGTTCCCAGCCGCGTCTACATGGCCCAAAGAGACCTTGAGCAGTGGTAGACCGGACAGAGAGTTCTCCTTGGGCTCCTCCCCGGCTCTGCGGCATGTCACGCAGCAGTTTCGCGGCGTCGGACGCGCCGACAGTGTCCATCATTGGTGTCTCCAATGTCGGGGCATCCAGAGGGCGCTCTCTGCTCTTGTGCAGCCCCTAGACGACTGTCATTCTGCAACAAAACGCACGAGTCCGCTTTGCCTTGTGATGTGTTGCTGCGACGCCAGGTCTCGCGAGCGGGTATCCTCCAGCCAGGCCATCCAGACCGAGCGGCCACCCAGGGCACCCCCAACATGGCCGGCGGTCCTGGTCAGCCTGCTTCACAACCTCAGCACCTGTGGCCGCAATGAGGGTGCCGAGGACTTTACTTGTCAGTTTTGAGTAAGTCTGTCACAGTCTTGCTTCCTACATTTCATAAGTCATGTGCGGATGCTATACAACCCTTATGCTCTCCAATTCGGTCTCAGTCAAGACGATTATGATGTTGTGTGCAGTGCCCTGCATGGTGTTTTCAACGAGTCATTCAAGCAATTGAAGGTTATCGTCGTTAGTGAAATCATTCCGGAGGCATGGTCTGCGCGAGTCCGAAGGCTTCTAGCTTAAAGCTGTGGGCTTCGGGTGTGCCTCTTGTTTTTGTCCTGGTTGAGTCGCTGCAAACCAGATGCAAAAAAGAGTAAGTCTGAGTGAGTGCAGCGATTCGGTGCCCGCAAACGATGGGTGTCAGCGGTGGAATGTCACGAACGGAATGGGCTTACCAGGCTCCAGCTAACATGGCTTCGTGCCTGGTGCGTGTTTCTGTTGGCTGGCGGATGGTCTGCGTTTTGTCAAGAAAGCGCCCTGATCTTGGTGTTACCTTGCAGCCCGGTGAAGATCCACAGGCATTCACAAGACTCGCAAGTGCATGCCAACATCGCAAAACATGATTGTGGGGTCATGGTGGATACCAGTAAGAATTGCAACCTAACACCCCTGGATTCCGGGAGCTCGCTGGAGGTCGAGTTTTCGTCTACTTCCTTAGGCCACTGCTCTACGAGGTGATTGTGGCTTCTAACAGCGTGTACTGTGAGCTCTTTGTCTTCGATTGGGCCGCCTGCAGCCCACCCTCGCTTGTTTTGAGGCAACCGCTCAGAACATCAGCGGCTGCCTTGACCTGTTGCAACCTGAAAACAGGATCGAGCGACATGAAGCTTACAAGCTGGAGCCCTGTGAATTCCTTTCATTTCGGGATTGGTATGTGTTGAACGGTTATGAACCGTTGTTATTTGTAGAAAGTGCCAACGCCTGGCAGCAGAACAGCTTGCTGGGGTGTATAGGCGAGCCGACCGTGGCCATGCCAACAGCCGTCCCGTGAAGGTGACCTCAGCAACCAAAAGCTTTAGACTTTAGACTGATTTGGGTACTGAGTGGTCCTCGCACAGTAGCTAAGCGATGCTTGGCCCTCGAACCGAGGTTATGACCTTTGGAAGCAGACATGCCCTGAAACCTTGACCCGGCCCGGCGAAGCTCTTAATGTATTGGATGTCGGAAGCTGAGGTATGGGTGCTGCCCTGAATGTGTGGCTGGAGGTATGCAAGGAAGTAGTCGGCGAGCAGGACCTCAAGCCGAACCCTGATGGAGGGGAGTCCAGTGAAGCGCAAAGATACTACGGGCGCTTGCTCGCAGCCAACGCAGTCTGCGAGTTGATCACCAGCCAGCTTGTTGGGGTGATGAGTGACAAGTATGGTCGAAGGCCTATCCAATGCTTGGCTCAGGTTGGACAGGTGCCCCGCCGCCTTATAACCACCAGACGGTGCTTGCATTAATCGTGTGCAGCTTCGCCTAAGCGTGAGCAGGCATGCTAGCAGAAACCGTAGAAAGTGGACATTGCTGTTGGCAGGTGCAGTTTTTCATGTAGTCGTCAGCAACAGCAAAGGAAGATGATGCAAGAGATAGTAGGCAGCAGCCGAACACGCGGCAGGGTAATCCGCAGTTTTTCATCGTGTCGTCGTAAATGTGTTCTGACAGCACAGACATGTGACCCGTGTCGTAGGCATGTCAAAGTGGTCGTTCTTAATCGCCGGCGAGGCGAGAACAGAGGGTTCAGCCGTGTTTAGAGACCTTCTGTATGGCATGTAAGAAATATCGTTAACGGGGTGTGAATTACAGGCAAGTATCAGGCCACGTCATTTCACGGCAGACGACGTTCTGTGCCTTCGGCACTTATGAATGATCTGGTCTAGCTGAAATAGAAGTGAAAGTGAAACTGCAAAGCAGGTGATAGATTACGGCATCGCTGGCCTTTGTCTACCCACCT